CCCCCCCCCCCCCACTAAAATAAATTAAAAAACAAAAACATCCTCAGGTGATATTTTTTTAAAAAAATGGCATAACTGCACAAAAAAATGTTTAATAGATTTGGATTAAATTTTAATAACACAATACATATAAATTGATTTAAAGCATAACATTAGATAGTGATGTACAAAGCAACAGAGTCTTTTGAGCTCCTAATGTGTGCTAGGCCTTACAGGATGCAAGGCCACTCAGAAGTATTGAGCCCTTTGTCCTCCGGGAACTTGGCAAGCTGAGAAAAATGTGCACCAAGAGAAAATGATAGCAGTAGTAGGCAGTGCATGATAAATGTAACTTAGACTAGAGAATTTCATACATTGGAGAGGTTATTGAAGGCTTTCATGGTCAAGGAAAGCTTTCCAGAAGAAGGTGGAATTCAGGCATAAGTAGAAGCACATTGGGAGGCTGGAGGAGAATAAGTGCTGGGATGCAGAGTCTCCGAAGCCAGCTGCCTGGAACGGAACTTGTTCAATAGGAAGAAGTGCTGAGGCCAAGGAGTAGCGAGCAGCTCAGCCATATCCTGTGAGTTTTAGGAGGTTCTGGAACAAAGGAATTACATTAAGGAGGCAATGTTTTAGGCAAAGTAACTTCTCTGGTGCCAGTAAACAAGATGGACTTGAGAAGAGTGTGGTGGCTCCATCTCCCAAATAAATCCCTTGCCTCCTACCAAAAAAACTATCACAGATGCTTTTATGACGGGAATGCTAATTGCCACCTAAATAAAATAGGTTTCATTTATGTACTCAAATTCATCCCGTTTTCCTTAAACATAGATTATTTTTCAAATTATAATTATTTTCAACTTTGTCATTCTTTACCCATCATGTCTCCAGATACCTGTTTAAGGCCAGCATAAAACTAATTTTAGTAGGTTCTACTATTTTAAAGTAGAAAGGATACATAAGGAAACATTAACTGCTTACTAACCCTCATATAGATTCATTTTCAATGAATTCACTTTGAATCAACTTGGTATTCCTGGATCATATGAGCTGGGACTTGGACGGCACTCACGGAGTGCCGTGTAAATACTGTAGAGCTTTAACTGGTAAATGCCTGAGCATTTCCCCCTTGTTGCTTTTAAGTCAGCTATGTTATCCTTTGGGGAATGTCAGTAGGGTTGAGGGGCAGCCAGTGCTGTTTCATGGGCTCACACCTGGGTTGTCAAGTGCCTCAGCACTGCCACCACCACCAATAAGAACTAGGGTCTAAAGGGGGCTCGCTTGGCCAGCCGGTGTGGCTCAGTGCTTGAGCATCGACCTATGATCCAGGAGATCGAGATTCAGTTCCGAGTTAGGGCACATGCCCGGGTTGTGGGCTTGATCCCCAGTGGGGGGGCGTGCAGGAGGCAGCTGATCAATGATTCTCATCATTGATGTCTCTATCTCTCTCCCCACTCCCTTCCTCTCTCTGAAATCAATAAAGATATATTTTAAAAATATATAAAATATATATATATATAAAAGGGGCTTGCTTGTCACCAGCTTTCTCCGTTCATGACCATATGTAATGGTGTTAGCCCTTTAAACATAAAATAAGCCTGTCATAAATCTTATTTTGACTTGTTTGCACACCACCTCTTTACTGTGTCTGTGTGATGTGATATAATACTTTACATCTTGTTTATCGAGAGTGTTTGATTATAAGTCAGCACCAAGGACTGAGGGTTTAAATGTTCAGGTCCAAGAATTGAGAAGGAGGGAGGGAGGGAAGGAGGAAAAAAGAGGGAAGTGTATGTGTGTGTGTTGCAGAATAAGGCTATTATTCTGAATGCTTAGAGTCATCAGTCGGAAGGTTTTATTGCAATATTTATTACAGCTAGAAAGAGTCATTCTATAGATAAAAAGAATCAAAGGCGGGAATGGTGGGTCAGAATTACAGAGACTGCAGTGACTCACCTGGTGGTTTTACAGCTACCCCTTCGGTAGGCTTGTCCTTCCTCCCCAGTCCTTCCTGCCCGTAGGCAGGGAATCATTTAGGAAGATAAACTCAGTCCCTCTGGGGATGGCATTGACTTCTACACAGAATACTAATTTCTGCATATATGTAACATTCAGTTGGGGTGTGACCACACAGGTTTTTTTGTTAGCCACACAGTTTTCCAAGTCTTTCAAATTTTTAAAATGTTGAATTTATCAATGCAGTACAGCTTGTCTTCTAATGATAGAAAGTAAGGTTTCATCTTTCCCATGTGTTGTTTAGGGCTGCTTGCAAGTAATTCAGTGGATTAAATTTGTGGCAGATACTTAGTTAAACTACAGAACAATTACTTTGAAGAAAAACTTGAGTATTCACCCTGTTTATTTTATTTTCCTGAGTCTGGAATAACCAAGTGCCAGTTTACAGGTATTTATGAGGCTGAAACAAGCACATAATGAAACCTGAAAGGATAAATGGGTGTTAAATGCTTTATCTTAGGGTGTTGCCTGTGCTTGCGTTACAATGGTTAATTCTAATGTGGGACTAAATTCATGACTCAGACGGAACCTTTGAAAGTTTAATCAGCCTAAATTGTGTATTACCCGTTGCTTCCTGTAAGTATAGAATTCTGCTGTGCAGAGTGCTGTAACCCCCGAGTTCTTTTCCAGTTCAAGGTTATTCTTAGGATTTAAGTCTTTTCTGTTGCTCCTGTTCTTTAGGCATATTCAGAACATGAGCGAGATCAAGACTGATGTTGGACGAGCCAGGGCATGGATAAGGCTGTCTCTAGAAAAGAAACTCTTGTCCCAGCATCTCAAGCAGTTGCTGTCTAACCAGCCACTCACCAGGTGAGAGATCACCCCCTGAGCATTTCTGTTTCTATGACCTGTGTGCTTACAAAGCACTTTTCGTAAGTTGACAAACTGTAGTTTTATTTTTCTCACATAATGAGAAGACTCGAGGTAGACAGTACACATTTTCATCGTGGACGTGGGCTCTTTGTGCCTCTCCTGGACACTCCTCAGTATGTGCTAATCACCTCATGGTCATAGGATGACTTCTCTTGTAAAATTAATGATTCAAAGGTTTTGACTGGTTTAAAATAAGGATTACCAACAAATTGCTTTCCTGACAATTTCAGTCCCACTGTCTATCTAAATAGCTAGCTATTCATTGCCCCCACCCTCCACGCTTATCAGCAGTGGTCAGCACTTTCTGATCTCTGAGAGTTTCATACAAAATGGATTCATGGGTTTTTTCGCTTTGATTACTGACTAGCTTAAAAATGTATCATTAACTGTCTATGCGTTCGTTTTTATGAATTGTCTGTTCTTTCCAGGTTAGAGTTTCTACCCCATTTGTCTAAGCGGTGTTTACTTGTAATGGAAGACATAATGAAAAATACACTGTCTTTTTGTTTTGTGCTCGTCTCTTTCCTAGGAAGCTTTACAAGCGTTACGCTTTCCTCCGCTGTGAGGAAGAAAGGGAGCAGTTCCTTTACCACCTTCTTTCGCTCAACGCCGTGGACTACTTCTGCTTCACCAGCGTCTTCACCACCATCAGTAAGTCTGCAGGATTGGCTGTTAATGAATCGTTGGTCAGGTGACTGGTGGAATAAGAGTTCATATTTTTGAAAGTGAGACATGCCATAGTTCAGTGAGGGGGGACACTGTGATTTCCCCCCCCCCCCACGCCCATCTCCCTTTAGGAATGCAGCTGTACCCAGCCACTGGAGGAGAGCCCCGAGCTCTCAGCCCTGGGGGAGGGAGAGAGTGCCTCACCCCAGGAAACTACCTCACCCCAGTGAGCCCTCCCGCCAGGGCCAGCAGCCTCTGTGATTGGTCAGGCCTGTTACACAGCCTCACGGCTCAGCTTCTCCCTCAGCCAGGCCAGCTTTCTCCCTCTCAGGATCATCCAGGAAACAACAGTCTACCTGTTGATTTCTGATTGATCTGCTTCCCAGGAAACCCATTCTACAGGAGGAAGTGGGGTGGGTGTGAAAAGGAATGTTTTACTAAACGAATATTCCTATATCTTATCCAAAACACATAGTAAACGTCTATAAGTGAACATCGTTATACTGTGGTGATTCAGAAAGATGAAAGGTGATTCAGGATGTCAGTGGATAGTGTGCAGGTCTGTGGAGGGAGGAAGTGCTGATTGGAGGTGGGATTTGGATGAGCTGAATTAAAGCATTTACTCTCCTCAACATTCCTCATTCCTGTTAGCACTGGGTCCCCTTCCCTGGTTTAGAGACTTTTTACTTGTATCTGTTTGGAGTTGTGTTCAGCTGCAGGTTTCAGAAACTTGCAAAACAGTGGTTTGAACAAATTAGTAGTTTTATTTTTCTTACATAATGAGAAGTCGAGGCAGGTGGTCCCCAGTGCCATGGAGAACACGTGCTCTTCGTCCCTCTTCTAGACAAGCCTCCGCATGTGCCCATCACCTCTTGGTCACAGGATGGCTATTCTCAGTCCACCTTCCAGCAGAAAAAAAGGAAGGAATGCCAAGGAAAAGGGTCAGAATCTGTGCTAGAAAAACATCATTTTCCAAGACATCTCAATGAACATCACTAACATTTCATGTAGGTTTTGTTTTTTCTAGTCTCTGGTAGAGGCAGACAAGGAAAACTGGAGTTGAAATGGTTATTGAGCCAACCTATGGTATCTGTCAAGCTACTTAGTTTATTAGGCTGTTGTAGGTATGAGAAGCTAAAATGTTATATACAGTTTTGAAAGAGAAGAAACAGGACTCCCAAGATCCTCCTTATATCTGCAGATTTCTCTTCATCTAAGAAACTCTCAATGTGAGGAATTGAGATACTTCATCAAAGAAATGTTCTGAGTTTAAATAATACTACTTTGTATACTTGGTGAAATCTGTTGTGCATCTGCGGACCCTTTTCTGCAGCTTTTCTAATCCTGTCAGTGAAAGAAAGTAGAGTTCCTGTGGCACCTAAAATAGTCTTGCACTAACCTCTTCTGCTTTCAGTTTCAAAACCGTTGGATTCTTGTGATTACTAAACCATGAAAGTATAGCCTTCCCTCAGACATTTCCTTTCCTTCAGCCAAAATAAAAAGACAGAAAGGGGGGTTATTCACTCAACATAAAGACAACGGTCTGTGAAAAATTAGGGAAGTGAACCATTTACCCTGTTCATTTTCCTCATCTAAGAATGCACTGAATCGTGAGCCCATATTGTGGGGCGGTGACCGGGCACTTGTCCAGTAAATGCTTTTCATCTTACCTGTAGTTCTTTCAAGGAGGGCTTTTAATACGCCCTCTTGTAACTGAGTGAGCAGAAATCCCAGGAATGCCAACAAAAAATATTGATTCTACCCTGCTTTTGGGGAGAAGAATGTATAGTTCTGAAGGATAAAAATGTGCTACTGTATTTGAGCCATCCCCATTTCTTAAAGGGAAATGGAGGGGTGTTGTAATGTGTAATTTTATTGTGTTTCCGCACTTGAGCGAAACACAGTGGTAGGAGCGTGACATCTAGTGGTTGGCCTGGGAAAAGCCTTCAAAAGAGGAGGTTTCACACAGCTCTCTTTCCACATCATTCTTTTCCTGGAGCCCACCCGTGAGTCACCTTTATTGTTTTCCAAGTTGTGGTTTATAGACCTCATGTTGTGTCCAGAATGGAGGTGCCATTGTTTATTTTTCTTGGCTTTGCATATTGAACTGTAAAATTGGGGTGGGAACATTCAGAAGTGCGGTGCTTTAAAGCGTTGCCCGAGACCGTCAGCAACAAGGGATAACATCCAGGAAGTCATGCACTCCCCTTTTCCTGTGAAACCATCACCATCAAGGAAACATGCTTATTTACTCTATTTTGAAACAAAAGTTATAAAACCGTTAAAGCAATTAAAATACTATATAGCACCATTACTGTTGTATGCTCAGGTATTCTGGTGCTACTGCCTAAGATTGTTTGTAAATGTAGTGGTGATGTATATCACCATGGAGATACACATACCATGCACACTTGGTGGTGTATATGCTGGGGAAACTACAAGTATCGGGACTTAGAACTTATAAACTAGACATCATTTTTCTAGACTGGGAGAGATTATGATCTCATCTTTTTGTCTAAGTATATCTTGATCATAAAAAGTGAATTATCTGCAAAAGCCAACAGAGTTCTTAATACATATTTGTTTTGTTATCAGGAGAATTTTATTGTAATCTTTAATTAAGTTCAGCATTTTCCTTCCAGTGATTCCTTATAGGTCAGTGATCATCCCCATCAAGAAGCTGAGCAATGCAATCATCACATCCAACCCCTGGATCTGTGTGTCAGGAGAGCTGGGAGACACGGGAGTGATGCAGATCCCAAAAAACCTCCTCGAGATGACTTTTGAGGTAGGTTTAGCTAACACTTATCTCAGTAAAAGGTACCCTATAATTCTACACAGGGCCTTAAGAACTCATAGCTCTGATCTTTGCAGCCATACATAGGCAGTTGGAGTCTGTGATCTTTTATCAGAATTTGGAAGTCAGAATTTAATTGACATTTATTTTTACTGTTCCTATTATCATTGCATTCTTTTGTACTTGTCCACAAAGGGCCAGGAACGATGTTGATAAGATTTTTTGTGGGTTTTTTTACAATAGCTTCAAAGACTTCTAGTAGATGAGGTTTGAGGTCCGTTCTGCCTGGGTATTTTATTTGAAACAGAAAAATAGCTGTGTCCGTGATTTACTTTTTTATATCTATGGTGGTTTTTCCAACCCCGATAACTGAATCTGATTAGCACTCTTTTTCCGCTTCTTGAAATTTCTCTCATCCTGTAAGGCACAACTCTGTCTGTGTGATGTTTCTGGGTTCCCCAGCTGGAAGTAATTGTTCCTTCCTCAGCGTTCAGCTACCATTGTTGACACCTCGAGTCTAACACCTTGTGCAGTCCCCTCATTAGGTTATTAACATCTGCTTGTCTCCTGTCTCATCAGATGGAATACAGTAGATGTGACTATGTTTCTCTAGTGCAGAGCAGAGCACTCCTCATGCAGAATGAGTCCTCTGCAGTCCAGTAAAAGGGAACCACAGTACCACAGCTAAAGCCCAGAGGTAGTGGGATGGGATCCGGTGCTGAATAACCTATGGTCCTGTCCCTGCAGTGCCAGAACTTGGGGAAGCTGACCACTGTTCAGATCGGTCACGATAACTCAGGACTGTTAGCCAAGTGGCTAGTGGATTGTGTCATGGTCAGAAATGAAATCACAGGACATACATACAGGTGAGTAAATGTCCTTAGGAATTCAGAATTCTTATTGTGAGATTCTTTGGACAAGAAGAGGTTTAAGAATTGGTTTTTCTTTTCTAAAACTCTCCCACTGCCTTCTGTATCTTAGTTTAGTTTTTTGAGTTCTTTTGTTTCCATTTGGTTTATGTGATACAAAATTGCCCAAAAAATATTTTACAAAAACAGACTGTGTTCACTGCTAATGCTTAGTTCACAAGTGTTGCATATTGTGTTGAAAAAGATTGCTGTAACTCTGATAAAAAGAAAGAAAAAAAGAAGCTTAAATTAATTTCAGTAAGAGGAAAAGATCTTTTGGACTCTGCTAGTTACAGCCAGCACCTCTTTCTGGGAACATTCTCCTGTTTTCTTCTGTAACTTAACCTGATGTTAATTTATAGTTTGAGAATATTCTTTCTAGAAGTAATCACAAAATTTTAATATAAATTAGGTATGAGAACATATTAAAAAATTGTTTTAATTTGGTTGGATGAGATAATCTATAGCTATGTAAAAGAAAATGCTTTATTATTTAGAGATTTATTTTGAAGTGTTTTTAGGGGTGAAATGTCCTAGTGTATGTAATTTATTTTAAAATGCTTCAACAAAAAATGAAGCATATAGCAAAATGTTAAGTATAGGTGATAAGAATACGGGTGTCTATTATACCATTCTCTCGACTTTTCTGTGTTTGAAATTTTTCACAATTAAAAAAACAACACATAGGCACTAAAATGATGGACTCTACTCATGGTGCTATTTTAGAAATTCTGATTAAAACTAGTAGAGTATTTGTGATTCAGAAGGTGGTTTTTTGTTTGTTTGTATGTTTGTTTTGTCCTGCTAGGTTCCCATGTGGGCGGTGGCTGGGGAAAGGCATTGATGATGGGAGCCTGGAGAGAATTCTCATTGGAGAGCTGATGGCGTCTGCGGCAGATGAGGACCTGGTAAGGCAGTGTCGGACTCCCCCACAGCAGAAGTCGCCCACTACGGCCAGGAGGCTGAGCATCACTTCACTAACAGGAAAAGCCACCAGTAAGTTGATTTTTCTTCTTAATGTATTTTTATTGATTTCAGAGAGAGGAAGGGAGAGGGAGAGAGAGAGATAGAGACAACAGTGATGAGTCATTGATTGGCTGCCTCCTGCACGCCCCCTACTGGGGATTGAGCCTGAAATGCCAGCATGGGCTCTGACCTGACCTGGAATCGAACCTCGATCTCCTGGATCCTAGGTTGATGCTCAACCGCTGAGCCATGCCAGCCGGGCAGTAAGATGATTTTTTATTTCTCAGTGTGTCTCAGATGATGCAGGCGTCACATGGCCATTTCACAGAAGACTTTACATTAATGAATTGTGGTACAGAAATTAAAAAGAAGAAAGCTGAAGAAAATTAATTTGGGAGAAGGGTCTTTAGAAAACGGGAGGAAAGAAAAGGAGAAAAAAATAAGGCAAGACGTTATGAATAATTAAAAGCCTGAAGAATTTAGATGTTAAAATTCAATAAAAATGCATGCTCTGTTTCAGTTAAGCTATGGAAAGATGAATAAATAATACTTTGCCTGAAACCTAAGAGAGGAATAAGGACAGTTTCCTATTACAGTACTCCCAGGTAGCCACAGTTAGCTATCTAGAGTCACCCTAAGAGAGATTCTAAAAATCCCTGTCCCCACCCCCCAGCTTCATACAGAAGTGATGAAATAAAATACTACAAAGGAGTGAGTTCTGTGGGTAGAATACTGTGTCCACCTGCCATTTTTACTAGTACAATAAGCTCCTAATTTATACTATTGTGGGCTTTAGTAGGTTGAGTAATGTCTCCCCGATATCAGATCCTAATCCCTAGAATCTGTAAATGTTACTTTATTTGGGAAAAGATGTAATTAAGGATTTTGAGATGGAGAGATTATCGTGGATTATCCAGGTGAGCCTTAAATGTCATTGCATGTATTCTTATAAGCGGGAGGCAGGGAGATATCAGACACACACAGAGAAGACAGTGTACAGACAGAAACAGAAGTGGGAGTGATGCAGCCATGAGCCACAGAATACTGGCAGCCACCAGAAGTTTGAAGGGCAAAGAGCATATTCTTCCATAGAGCCTCTGAAGGGAACATGGCCCTGCGGACACTTTGACGCCTGCTCTGTGCCACAGAGTTCTGACTTCTGGCCTCCAGAACTGTGCGAAAATTAATTGCTATTGTTTTAAGCCACCAAGGTTGTGATAATCCTATCACCGGAGCCACAGAAAACTAATGCAGAGGCATTAGTGAAAAATTACAAAAGTTTATCAGTGAAAGTGGTGTTTTTTTAGTTATAGACAATAACCGTAAGGTAGAATAGCAAAAGTACCTAACAGATCCTTAGTTTACTAACAAAGCAGTTTCCTTAGATAGTATTTGTCCCAATCCAGTTGTTAACACATGGTGATATAGTCACTATTAGAACGATATTATCTAAAAATCCCCCTTATTCTTTCTTAAATTACTCTCCTGATTTATAAGTCCTTTTTGTAGACAGAAGTAAAATCTACATCACTCACCCACCAAAACTGATAAAATTTAAAAGACTGGTAATAGCAAATATTGCCAAGGATAGAGAGCTGTCACTGCTGGTGGGAATGTAAAAGGAAAAACAGTTTGCCAGTTTCTTACAAAGATATACATACACTGACCACATATTTGCACCCAAAATCCCCTCCTAGATATTTACCCAAGAGAAATGAATACATATATCTACACTAAGACTTGTACTCAGATGTTCACAGCAGCTTTATTCATAGTAGCCAAAATGGAAACAACCCCAGTATCCACAGTTGGTTAATGGATAAGCAAATTGTGATATATCTATTCAAGTGGATACTTTTCAGCAATATATAAAAGTGAACAAACTATTGATATGTCTAACAGCATGGATGAATCTCAAACATTCTGCTGAGTGAAAGAAACCAGACACAGAGGACTGGGTACAATATGATTCCATTTATATTAAATTCTAGAAAAGGTAACATAATAATGACAGAAGGCAGATCGGCAGTTCCCAGGGATTGAGAGCTGGGGAACAGGATTGACTGAGTGGGGGCACAGGGGAACTTTTCAGATTGATGGAAATTTTCTATATTATGATTGTGGTCGTGGTTACATGACTCTGTATCTATCAATACTCGTCAAATCGCACACTTAAAATTGCTAAACTTACTGTATACAATACCTTAATTATGCTGATTTAAAATTTAAAAATAGATTTCACCTCAGTTCATCCAAATTATTACAACCTCTGAGTCAGTCCAGTTTCATGGGGTAGTACTGTTTTGAGAACCCTTAGCCCCCACTTTTGGTTATATTTTCTTTTCTTACTCAATAAGCATAAAATTTTAAACAGCTGATACCCAGAGATGAGCAGCTTAGTATTTTCTCACTGTGTGCAAACTGATGTTTAGAGAACTCAGAGTTTTAAGTCAGTTTCAATGCACTGCTTGTCAGTGCAGGACTCTTTTGGATGAATAAATGCTTTCAAAGTAGATCTTCATGTCTAAAAGAAAATCATTCAGAGAATGGTAAAAGTAAAAAAGGTACTGGGAGCCGAAGATGCCACAGTGTCAGGGCTTCAGTCATAAGAAGTTTCCATTTTAACCATTTTTATGCATTGGTGTCAGAAAAATTTACTTGCATTTTACCTAAGAAATGAATTGAGAGATTCTTTGAAAACTAGAATTTATCGTTTGTCCTTTATAGTGTGACAGTAAATTAGATATAGTAGTTAATCATGATAAGAAAATATCAAATACATCATTTTTCTGTGATTACTGACATCTGTCCCTGGATGAAACCTGTTTACCACTTTTCTTTTTTCCATTCTTGGGATTTGAGAGGCAAAGTCAGTTTAGATCCCATTCAGACAGCCCACTGTCTCTCCCTCAGGGTCCTACAAGAGCAGGTGCTGGCTGGGGAATGAAGCAGTGCCCAGACAGAGTGACCAGCAAGGAAGGGAAGGAGTTCTGGGCTTCAGGCAGGGTGCCCAGTATACCTGGCATCTTCCCTTTACTGTAAACACAACAGCAAAACACAAATTCGAGGTTAGCCACACAGAGCCTCAGAAGCCTCGTTCTATGCCCACTAAAGAATGTGGAGGTAGGTGGGGTATGGGGGTGCAGTTCCTGAGGAATGAAGCTGTGGGCCTTCCCTGCCCCACCCCTCAGACCTGGGGACTTGCTAGCACTTTTGACAGGCACCATGCCGGGTGATTTACACCTAATAGTTCATTCAATTTTCCCAGTAACCCATGTAGGAGATGTGCATTTTATGTATTTTCCCTTTTAGATTGAGGGAACTCAAACTCAGACATTTGACCAAGGTTAGCCATTGGACCAAGGTTATTACATGTGGTAAGGCTGGGATTTGACTCTAGGGGTCTCGGATTCTTTTTTATTTTATTTTTAATTTTTAATCTGTTGTATTTACTGTTTTATCCCAAGTACCTAGAACAGTACCTGGTACATAGTTGGTACAAGTTTTTTTTTTAATTTTATTTATTTTTTTAATTTGTCTTTATTGTTGAAAGCACTACAGGTGTCCCATTTTTTTCTCCCCAATTGACCCCCTCC